TTCAGATAACATATAAGAGTATCTATATTGAATACTAGTTGGTTGTTTGTGGAAATTAGTTGGTATCTGCTATCTGGATACTAGTTTGTGATGTTTTGAATACTAGTATGTGTTATCTAGATACTCAGCAGACTTGGATATTAGTTCATACATTTTGGATATTAGTTAGTATATACTAACGAATCTTCTAGTTAGCAGAATAACTAGGCTGGTAAAATAAAGGGTATTGAATCTTTGATCTTAGTAACTAAAATATGCATCTTTGACCCTCACAACTAGGATTTGCACGAAATCAATATTTGGGACGAATCGTTGCATCAGATTCATATGTTCGTAGATGATCTTTCATTTTAATAAAAAAAATCGAAATACCTATTTCTGTTATTTATTTCGATTATGTTTTGTGAAGGATGGAGTCGCTTTTGATTATCTAGTTACCCCTATTACTTCTTTGACTTTCAAACAAGTTACGTACCAGGAATATGTATCCAATCACGACATAATAACATCATTCTTAATATAGTATATGTTTGTTTTGAGTCTTTAAGTTGCGAAGATCATAATACAACCTTAAATACTCGTCATAATTCAGATGTCGTTTGCTTGTTGCATTTGAAAAAGGAGAATTTTAACAAAAAGAAATCTTTCGAATCTGAATTCATACTTCATAGACCACATGATTTTACACAAAAAAAAACCCTGCTTTTATCAAGATAGTGAAATCATACCGGAGATGGTACCGAAAAATTTAGTAGTAGAATATTTAGTACTAAAACTGTGTTAATCGAAGTTCAACTATTTCCTAGCGCTAGAACCGAAATACCCATTTACATTCAATATCCAATATTTTTTCGATCCGACTCACTGGTACTGTATAAGGTTTCTCAAACATCGGACATTTTATCGGTTGAAAAACACCGTAAATGGTTTACTATTAGCATCTTGCAGATCACGGCCCTCACTCCAAGATGGACGAAAGCAACGTTACGTGGAGGAATCGTCAACAACGAAGAACGCAGGCAGGCACACGTGCAGGCAGAGGTAGTATAGAGAACAGGGACAAGAGTGTGGTCGTGGCCCAAACCGCCAACAGACTTCATTATTAATCAATGACAAGCTACAATTATGTTGTTAATATATAACAAAGCTTATCCGAATTTTGGAACTGGATCTTGACTTTCCAAATTTTGACCTGCTGACTTTGTCTCCATAAGAAGTTGGACGATTCAAATCCCCACGGCCACGGGGACCAAATGACTGCGCACGTCCTTGGCCTGGCCTGGCCACCGGCTGCTTGTCCCCTTCGCCCAACATGTGCTCCTCCTTTCTTGCCATGTTTTTTGGTCCCAAACCAAACGGGTATCTTGTGCCTCTTTCACCTACCAATTTGGGTCTAGAAGCTCATGTGTGTATGTGGCTAGGGCTGTCAATTTGGTTTGGTTTGGTTAACCAAACCATTAAGTATGAAAAACCAATAACCAAAAACCAAATCCCAAAAACCAAAACCAAAACCATTAAGGTCCTTATTGGTTTTTGGTTGCCAAAAACCAATAAGGACCTTAATGGTTTTGGTTTTGGTTTGGATAACCAAAAAACCAACATGTACTCATACACTCATATTTATTCTTATTTTCCTCCTTTTTATTGAATAAACGTCATAATAATGGTAAATGTCCATTACAAATTATTGGTTGGCATGCGTGTCAAAAGAAACAAAATAAAAAAAATTGTTGATGAATAATTTTATTCTTATTGGTTTCTTAATGGTTTCTATTGGTTTTTCGGTTTTAACCAAACCAAAACCATTAAGTTTCTTATTGGTTTAAAACCAAAAAACTGAAACCATTAGCTTTCCAATTGGTTTGATTTTGGTTAAAACCAAAAAACCAAAACCAAATGGACAACCCTATATGTGGCAGGAGTTGAGATGAGGAAATTAACGGTTCTAATAAAGTACTTTGTCGCATTTTTCCGTCGATTTCGTAAACCGTATCGATGCAGGGCCGATGCAATAAAGAACTACTAAAGTTTGTACGTGTGGACAATGCAACAACAACAATGATTAAGGATGAGAAGGTACGGGGAGGAAATGAACATCCGTATATAGTGAGTGATCAGTTTGGTGCTTTACTGTCTTGCTAAGATATGTCCTCGATACGAAGCTCGGTCGAAAGAAGTTGTGGCAGGTGAAAGAATGGAGATCGATGCCACAATTATATATTGTGTATGGGGACTGATGGGGACATGTAGCGCGGAGGAGTGTGACGGCCTTTTGGATTCACGGTTGTTGAACTTTTGTTCAAACTAGTATAAAAAAAATGGGGGTAGACTCAGGAGTTAGAACTGATATTTTATGTATGAATTTGTATCATACTGCGTGTTGTCGTGCTAGTTAGCACAATGACTATGTTCACACGAAGATGTTGCAACTCAAGAGAATAAAAGGTTGATTTCAAACTCAACCCAACCAGATATATAGATTTGACAATTCAAGCTACATTTTTAAGGTTCAATCGGGCTTAAAAGTTGGATTCTCCGTAATATAATTTTGTGCGAGAGGCTAATATGAACATGTGGTGTAGAGGGTTCTGACATTTACGGGGATCAATATGATTGACATTTTCTCTCAAACTAGTTAAACGAGAGGGTAGATCCTAGAGTCAAGACCAATTTCAAAATCCAACTGAGTTTGTGACCATCACATGGTCGATCAAAAGTTCCATAATTATTATTAACACAACAATTAAAAGGAATCATTCTATTTCAAAGCTTAACCTTCAACAAAGTCATCTTTGATGGATTAGGGTTTCATGGAAGCAAAACAATCGAACCTTTCTTCTGCAAACCTCGATTTGGTAAAACAGGACCAAGCTCTTGGGTTGGAGTTGGTTGCAGGCAATTCCTCTTTTGGCAAAGTAGGGTTTGGTGTGTCACATTCAACACTTTGACCGGCGACTACTCTACCCAATGGGTCTTTTGCTTCCACGCAACAATAGTTAGATAATATCAATTCAACGCCGTCACCTGTCTGTCAAGTATAGGGATGGCAATCAAACCCATTGCCGCGGGTACCCGATCGCCCCCAACCCAGTCAATGCGGCTAATCCCCGCTTTGACCGGGTATGGGGCGGGTATGGGTAAAACCCGCAAAAGTTTGATGGGTATGGGGCGGGTATGGTTTTAGCCTCCCCCGCCCCATACCCATACCCATATCCGCCCCACCAAGAGAATTTCTTCACATATACAAAAAAATGTGGATCAAATTGTAATCTATCAATGGTGATGAGGATAACTCAAGGAAATAAATAGTAGAAATGCTATTGAGTGACCACTTTAATCAAAACCTAATTCATTTTCCTCAATTCTCCTTTCACTCTTTCACTTTCCCCCTTGTCAACAAGATTATGTTAGTTAATTATTACTTAGTAGATGTATAAGAGTTAGAACATAATAATTTGAAAAATATTATACTCTATATTATGTATTAATGAATGTTTTAGGATCATATTCTTTGAACCATATTAAGAAAATGATCGTGTTTTGTTGAATTCGTAATATAATAGGTACGTTTAGAGTTGTAGTTAAAACTTTTCTTATGAATTTTTGGATAATAGTGTTGGATGTACGGGTACGGGTATTACCCATGGGTACCCGAAACCCACGGGTATGGGGATGGGTTTGCCGAACATTCCCCCGCATGGGTATGGGGCGGGTATAGGTTTGGATATTTGAAGATGGGGATGGACATGATTTAGACAAACCCGCCCCAAATCCGCCCCATTGCCATCCCTAGTCAAGTATTGAGATCAGATCCCTCTTCTTCTTCTTTCTTTTTTCCCGATCTTCGATATCTGTTATTTATTTATTTATTAATTAAGAGATCAAATAGACTATTCTACATCTTTGTTGACAGGTTCCCATCTTCAACTGAGAAGAAGGTTTATGTTTTTCTTTCAAAGATAGAGCTGTGAGTTCCTTTTCACAATGATTTGTGAAACCGTAGCGGTGCTTGGAGCAGAAGTAATTCTAACTCCCACATAATTAAAAAAACTTAAAGATTTTAAGAAGAGAACTCTAAAGAAAAATCAATATTGATAGTTCAAGTTTATACGTATTAATAATTTAAATTGTTTTTTATATGTTGAATAAAGAGATTGAAGTCGTATATGAATAACTGTAATTTAATTGATGTAATATATTTTTTTTAAATAAAGTATCAATATATTTTACCAACGTCATACATTTATTATAAGTGTATAATATCTACCCAAACTATATGATTTTATTGTAGGTTACTAGTTTTACCGCATAAAACCAGGTGACATAAATTTTGCATAAAACATGTGCACCATACCAACATAGATGGCAACAACTATTTTTTCTGGTTTGACTATTGATATGAGACGTAAGACTTTCCTTGCATTATGTAGATTGAATAATGTTCTTTCAATTCTGGATAACCACGTAACAAATAGTTGGTCACAAAGCGAGCTCTCCTGCCGAAAGGTAGTGCATATCTGACCACCACATCGTTAAAGAGTTGTTACCATAGAGGTGGGAAATAATTTTTTATTTTATCAATACACCATATACTCAATGGTTAACTTGTCATTCAAAACTTTGTCAACATGGTGAATAAGGGCTTGGTCCAGTGGTTAAAATTGTATCAACATAGAGCACAATGGCTTGCTCCAGTGGTATAACCACAACTCCATATTCGAATTCCTCAAGTAGCACCTAACTATAAAAATCAACTCCATATTACTCTTATAATAAAAAATATTGTGTCAACATAATTTTATCCAGAATGCGGATGCTAATCCGTTTCCATCCCGGGACGAAAGTCCAGCGTGCATCGAACGGGCTAGGCAGGCTTGCAAAGGTTTAAGGTCCATGTGGGTACATGGAATCCAAAGCCCAAACCTTCTATCCTACTTTTCGAGGGCCCAGAAAACACGTCTGCAATTCCCGATATCGCAGACGCAGAGTGAGAATAACACTAACACCGCAAGGGACCTTCAAAGATCAAACTTACGAGCAGAATGAACAACTAAAGAGATACCTCCCCTCCCAGTCAAGAACGAGGACATGATTCCCATTACCGTTCGGAACTGTCATAGATCCATTTTCGTTGTGGATATAAATATGCTATGCAGGGAAAAACTAAACTGATGAACTGAAAGAAGTAGTTCACTCCACCACGTATTTACATTGACCAAAGGGGGAAAACCTAGACATCTGAAAGACTAAATCGCTGTAACTGTAAATGCAATTGAAGGCTAAACCGAGATATAAAATTGCATCAGACAGGGGTATTCAAAATAATAAGCGATCAGCAGCAGAGGCTGACCTTCTCTTCACATTCTGGTGTATCGGGTGGCAGAGCGTCCACCTGTAGAGCGTCTGGCTTTCGTGGTCCTGTTTCATTTTTCATATGGTTCAAAACAAATCAGTTATTCTTCAGCGTGATACAGAGGCCGAGTGGTTTGCAACAAATGATCAAGACTGATTGGGAAAGTTAAAACCAATTGGCCAAGTGCATAAGATTTCCAGAAATGAAGTTTAGTATTACGTTTTTAGGCACAAGACGTCGAATCATCTAAGCCTAATCCACCACCAGCAAATACGGGAGAGTGCAGAAGAGCTAAAGAGGTATCAAAAGTCTGAGACAAGAGTGCATTCCAGATTGCCAGATAGTAATCGGAGGAAAGCACTTACTTTTTGTAGTGAAAGCGCTCGTCTTGGTTATCCAAGTCTCCATCATCAAGAAAACGGGGACTACTGATGTCATGATGGCCCTGCAAAAAATGATATCAGGATCAGCTGTTTCGCAAAACACTACCTTGGATGAGCAGTTTCGCAAAGCATAAAGCTAAAGTCAATAGTAAAAACAAAAGAGATGGGCCATTTACGTAAAAGTCGACCGTAGCCACATTCATATCTTCACCAGTAACTGTACTCCTGTTCTAGCTAGTATGCATTCCATAATGGATCCTTTCATCGGAAACTCAATATGCATATGTAATCAGAGACAAACTAAAGGGCAAGTTCCTAGTGATTATCCTCAGGGCCACTCTCATAAATACAATATTGCATTTCCACAGCTCCAAAGTTGACCAGACATGGAAATCATAATCTTCCATCTTACACAGCTTAAACAGAACTCAGAAGTCAGGATTGTACTAATGAAGACCAGAAAACAGGTAGATCTTGTAAAGCAAAGCAGCATACGGCTTAACATATAGAGTATAGACCAACAGATACCGGATTTGAGAAATGCCGAGATGAACTCACATTCGAATGGAGATTCTTCCTAGCTATTTCAATACTTTCCTTGACATCCATCTGATGCTGCTTCTCCAATTGATCCATTTCATTCGCCTGTCTAATCTTGTCTTCAATCAAGGGAAGCAAATTATCTGAAGTTGCCAACCTGAAAACAGCATTACCTTTTAACAACACCGAAGTACATATACATGGATATTACAAATAGAAGCTGTTAAAGCCGAAGTATAGAACTCTCTTAACATTCGGTTTTGCTAACAGATGTAGACTCTCCCAATGTCTCATTCATTGTACTAGTGAAAACATTTTTTCACCAGAATGTCATGCATGCAGATTCTACTAACCCATACCGTGGCAGACATTTGGGTAGCTTAATAATGAAAACTGTACAAGTTTTGGAATAAAACCTACCAATTTCTTGCAGTCTCTATCACAGCTTCAAGTTCACCGGGGACCAGGTCCCTCCCTGCTGCAAATTCAATCTGAAAAGGACCACATAGCACCATTAGGGCCATAAGTTTGAAAAGCTAAACACCACTGAAGAAGTAATGGTCATTAAAAAAAAAAAAGAGTTCAACCTGGAAACATCGCTTTGATTGATCCAACTTCCCTTTGATTATCCCCTAAATCAAACATCCAATTATCAACATCATTACGAAAATGCAGCCCCAAATATGAATCTCAACATAAACCACGCAACTCGAACACGCACTTACCGCGTACAAACACTCATCAATAAGGAAGTCCTCGAGCTCACGCACGTTAGAAAATTCAAGTTCCTCCAAAAGTGTATTGTAGGAAACAACCTAGAGGAAGCGGCAGCAACAACATTAGCTAACAAAGACTGAACCAATTTAATTCCTACCAACAGCAGGTTACAGTGAATTTCTGTAATCAGAAAGCAAGCTAATCACCTTGCTAGTCTCAGCGACAGTAAGCACAGTGAGCTGCTTCAGCTTAACAATTTGATCCGGTTTCAACTGCGGCAGTACACTCGATTTCCCTACCAGAATCAAGGTCAAAACACCAATCAAAACTCCAGACATAAACCAGAAAACAATGCAAGAAACAAAATCCGAAACATCAGGAAAGCCACGACGATGAATCTTACCTTTGTAGTCCTTCCACGTTCCATAAGCAAACAGTTTCAGGAGATCGACGTACGCCGAATTCTCGGTTCCTTGAACCTACATCGTCCCGCTGTTAAACGCAAGTCCGATTACTCGACTTAAGAACAAGAGACGAAGCTGAAGAACCCTAACCTGGAGGAGATTTGGGAGGGCAAGAATCTCGCCGAAGGAGAAGACTGAAGGGTGCGAGGTGGATTCGACGACGAGGCGAGCGAGAGAGGGAGAAGAGGCAGGGCCGCCGTCGATCGCCGACGCTTGCTCCACGAACTGCTGGATGAATTGCGCCTGACGTTCTTCTATCTCCATTGATTTTGACTGTGGAGTGGTAAAAGGGCTTTACGATACGAGGTTTCCGCAGCTTGGCAGCGGACGGAGACGAGAAAGCGGAGCAGCAGCGAATTGGTGGCGACTGGCGAGAGCGGGCGAGTGGGCGACCGGGCGTTGGATGGAGAAACTGAAACTGGTTGCCAGATGTGCAGGATTTTATACTGTACGGGTGCCTTACAAGGCCTCCTGGGTCCATTTACGGCGTTAACGGGCTGTCAATAATTGGGCTTTTTTTATTAATCATGGATATGGCTGGACCCAATATTTAAAGCGAAAAAATTCATAGGGTGGGTGGGTGATAATTAATAACAAACTAAAAAGCTATGCACCAAAGTGTAATTCTTCTTCAGTCATCTCCTAAAACCCCTGACTATAAAGTAAGAAAGAAAGCAAACAGCGCCAAGTAGCAAAACCCTAATCTCCAGCTCCGCCATCGTTTTACAGGCCCAAAGCTTACTGCGCCGAAGCCGAAGGCAACAACCTTCAAGCTCGCAGCCGCGCAGATTCTAAGGTTGCAAAATGGGAAGCGACAGTGAAGCGGAGAAGTCGGCGCAGAAGCAGGATGGAGAAAAGAAGAAGAAGGCCATAGCTCTGGCTCCCATAGCCAAGCCCCTTGCCGGCAAGAAGCTCTGCAAGCGAACTTTCAAGCTCGTCCGCAAAGGTAACCCTTTTCTTTTCTTTTCTTATTGTTCTCTATTGGTTATGCAAGTTGGTTTCGTGCCCTTGGAATGAATTTGGTTTTTGGGTTTTCATTGGGTGGCTGGTTTTTGATTCAGCTGCTGAACATAAATGCCTGAAAAGAGGAGTGAAGGAGGTTGTCAAGAGCATCCGGCGGGGTGGCAAAGGGTGAGTTGTGTCTGTAAGGTTTTTGTTTTTGTAGTTGTTGTTTAATGTTGATGAAAATGAACCATGAATCTTTGCTAGACCAGCTGTATTGGTAAGCACACTTAATGCTTAAAAAAATGAACCATGAATCTTCCTATTCGATTGATGCTTTGTTTGCTCCTCAAATGCCACTTCCAAGCTTAATGGAATAGACTAATGCTTTTTTGAGAGTTGAAGCTATCTTAATTCAGTGATGAATGATTGAGTTAAGATTGTATGTAATAACGGTGTAGGCTGTCTTCTGATGAAGCTTATGTATTGTTTAACTTCATAGAATAGTGTGGCATGTCTTATAGATAAAGAAGTAAAACAGATATCACTACAGGATGTATGTAAATGTAATAGCGTCTTGTTTTCGATGCAGGATATGCATTATTGCTGGGAACATATCTCCAATTGATGTCATAACTCATGTTCCAATTTTGTGTGAAGAGTCTGAAGTTCCGTACATATACGTCCCTTCCAAAGAAGTAAGTTCACAGTTTCTCTTCTTGGGCTTCATGATGATTACATAGCCCTTCTATGAGAGTAGAACTCTCATAGTCTTTCCTCGCGAATCTCCCATCATGCAGGATCTTGCAACCGCAGGAAACACAAAGAGGCCTACATGCTGTGTTCTCGTACTAACGAAGCCTCCCAAGGGAGAGATAGCCAAGGAGGAGCAGGAGAAGTTGAAGTCGGATTATGATCAAGTTGTAGCAGATATCGCTGAGCTCACTTCCTCTATGTTTTGATCCACAATGCTCTGCAATTTCTTGTATAACCTAAGACAAACCATCGAATCCTGTCCGACTCTTATCCGGTTAATGATATGCAGTTTTGGGCTTATTATGCAGCCCAGACTGTTGATGATTTCTTGATTGTGTATGAACGAGCAAGCTAATCCATCCTCCTCTGATTCCCTCCTCCTTCTTGTCTAGGTCTAACCCTTGCCTTCATGCTCTCTCGCGCGTCATCTGCATATGTTTTGCACTGCATCTGCCGAGATCTAAAGTGTTAACTTCTACAAAAGGCATGGTCTAATGTGGACATGTGGTTTAGAATCAGAATAAATTGATCTAGACACTGATTAAAAAAGCAAAGAAAAAACGAGAACTAGAACCGAAGAAAGTGCCTTCAATTTCATTGTGATTTAGTATGATCTGGTTTGCATTTGGTTAGATGACTCATCACTATTAAAATCATGACGAGAATGGATCTAAATCGAATTATATCCTGTCGGGATTGATACAAATGTATTTTGTACAATCTGATATCACCCAACGAAGTTGCTTGACTGAAAGGAAAGAAAGTTTGCTCGACTGAAAGGAAAGAAAGAAGCTCGAAGAAAGTGAGAGGAGAGGTTAATCGTTGCCCATGCTAGAAGAAAGTTATCTAAGAAAGAACACAGTCATACAAATGATTCACAATCAAGCATCTTCTTCCCTGCTTCCGCTCTCTTCTGCGTATTCTGTTTTGAACTTTGGTCATTTAGCTCAATTCCAATAGGAAAAGACTACACAATCAACCCTTGTAATAATATTTTAACATGACATTTGTACAAGCCAATAGAAAAAGTTTGCGGGTAAACTGCAATACTACGTTCTTTCAACACCTGTAACTACAAAAGTCAAGAAATTAACCTAATCACCTCAAAGCAATTAGTCGCCCTCGTGCCTTTAAAACCTACAGCCTCTCAATCTGCTACAGAAACACAAAATAGACATCAATTTCAACTTAAACTCCTCTCCAGAAAACTCTGCCCAGTAAAAAGAAGAAGCCATCTCACCTCCACAGTGACATGGTCAAAACAACCAACCATTTCTGCCCAGTCAAGTCTCAACCTCAAAAAGAAATTTGTACCTAATCTGCTAATAACCTAATGCAGTCAAAAGACTGACTAGGGTGTGTGTACATGGGACATGATCCAACGATCTCAGCCGTCCATTGCACATAATGAATGACTGAGATCACACAGGAAGGTGAGCTTCTGACTTGCTGAATCTTAATCATCAGAAACTTTGAAGCAGCTTCTTTCGAGGGGGGACTTAATAAAGGACCACTCCCCAAGTTTCAGGTGAAAACCAAACATTCATGCACATCCTTGGAAAAAGATGGCTTCTTTCCTTCATCATCTTCTTCTTCTTCTTCTTCTTCTTCCCTTCTTCATCAACCCCCATTTCTGCACTGCAAACATCACCTTAAGCTCATCACTAACAGCTGATGATGGAACCAACTCCATATGGGCATCACCATCTGGAGACTTCGCTATCGGGTTCACCCAACTCAACAACCTCTTCCTGCTGTCAATCTGGTTCAACAAGATCCCCAGCAGAACAGTCGTCTGGTCAGCTAACCCTCAAAACCCGGTCCCCAAAGGTTCGAAAGTCCAGCTCAGCTCGAGCAGCCTCGGCCTAACCGATCCAGACGGGCGATTGGTTTGGGAAGCAAAACCCGCTGTTGGTTCATCACCCATATCCTATGCTTCCATGCTCGACTCAGGAAATTTCGTCCTTGTAAGTAACACTTCCACTTCTCCTGATGCTGGCTACTTATGGGAAAGCTTCAGAAATCCTACAGATACCATATTACCAAACCAAACCCTGAACTTGGGAACCACTCTATATGCCAAGCTGACGGAAACAAACTTCTCAAAGGGAAGATTCGCACTTCGATTCTCCAATGGAAGCCTCGATCTTCTCCCTGTAGCCCGCCCCGGAGATTCCTTCTACGATCGTTACTACACCAGTGGTACTTACAGCTCAAATCCTTCAGAAACGGGAAACCGTCTGGTCTTCAATGGGACAGCGCAGATTTATATTGTCAAGGGAAGCGGTGACGTGGCTCCGCTTCGCAGCTGGGATTTCGTGACCTACAGACAGGACTCTTATTACAGAGCTACCCTGGATTACAATGGTCTCTTCACTGAATACTCCCATCCAAGGAATTTCAATGCCGGTGGTCAGAATCCTTCATGGCTGCCTGTTCAATCAGTGCCTGACAACATCTGCCTGGCTTTCTTCCATGAGTACGGCGGTGGGCCGTGTGGGTTCAATGGAATCTGCTCGATCGGGGACTCGAGCCGGCCTTCCTGCTCGTGTCCTCCTGGCTACGCGTCTGCAGATCCTGCAGACGCATTGGCCGGATGCAGACCGACATTCCCTCAGGGGTGCGGATTCGGGGTCCTCGACAATAATGTCGAGGATCCCCGACAGGTTTACGAGATCAGGAAGGTCGACGGGGTCGACTTCCCGTTGAACGACTACGAGAAGCTGCAGCTTGACGACGAGTCCGTTTGCGAGGATTCGTGTATGAGGGACTGTGCTTGTGGGGTAGCGGTGTACGATGGAATTCGGTGTTGGAAGAAGAGGTTGCCGCTGTCGAATGGGAGGGTATGGAACAATACTTTGGTTAGGGTTATGTTCAAGGTTAGGAAAGATGGAGTTACTACTACTACTTCAGGGTTTCCTGAAGCGGGAGGGAGTGATGGGGGTAGAAGTAAGAAAGGTGTGTTGAGAGCATTGTTAGGGAGTTCTGTGGCGATTAATGGAGTGATGTTGTTGTTTGGTTTAGGGTTTCTGATGAGATTGAAGAAAAGGAGAGTGGAGTGGGTGAGGGAAGGAGGAGGAGGAGGGGGGATGGAGATGAGTGGTACTCTGCGTTCCTTCAGCTACAAGGAACTGGAAGAAGCCACAGATGGGTTTAGGGAAGAGCTTGGGAGAGGGTCGTTTGGGATTGTGTACAAAGGTGTATTGAGATCCGGAGGTGGTGGTTCATCTGGGGTTGCCGTGGCTGTCAAGAAATTGGACAAGCTGGCTCCAGAGAGGGAGAGAGAGTTCAAGACCGAGGTGAATGCGATTGGGAGAACCCATCACAAGAACCTGGTGACCTTGCTAGGATACTGTGACCAAGCCTCCCACCGGCTCCTGATCTACGAGTACATGAGCAATGGCACGTTGGCAGGGTTCCTGTTCGCCCTCCCCAGACTCGAGTGGCACCATCGTGCACGGATCGCCCTGGGGATAGCTCGGGGGCTCGTGTACCTCCATGAGGAGTGTCAGGTGCCCATAATCCACTGCGACATCAAGCCCCACAACATCTTGCTTGACGATGGCATGACAGCTAGGATCTCGGATTTCGGGCTGGCCAAACTGTTGTTGTCTGATCACACGAGGACCAAGACCGTGATCCGGGGAACTAGAGGGTACGTGGCCCCCGAGTGGTTCAAGAACGTGGCGATCACTGCCAAGGTCGACGTCTACAGCTTTGGGGTCATGCTGCTCGAGATAGTGTGTTGCAGGAAGAGCGTTGAGATGGAGATGGAGGAAAGTGGGGAGGAAGAGAAGGCCATACTGACGGACTGGGCATACGATTGCTATGCCGGAGGCAGGATGGATCTGTTGGTGGGGAAAGAAGAGGCGGCGGTGATGGAGGATGGTGGGAGGTTGAAGAAGTGGGTGATGATTGCATTGTGGTGTATTCAGGAGGATCCCTTGGTTAGGCCTACAATGAAGAGAGTGGTGGAAATGATGGAAGGTTATGTTGAGGTTCCATTGTTGCCGTTTCCTTCAAGTTGTTCGATGTTGGGTGGTCATGGTTCTAGTGTTGGAGGGGATTCTAGCTGGGGTTGAAGCTCCAATTCTTTGTTTGTATATGTTCATTATCAGTCTGAGAAATACGGCATGCTGCCTTAGTTTCAGTAGCCACAACTGGTTTATTTGTCATCGTCTCTGTTGCTATTTTTTGGTCATGCAAAAGGTAAGAGGTCTGCGTTTTTTACGCGATGTTACTGGAATCAGTAATTTGCTCTAGATTAGTTGTTGCCCATATTTGTATCATTGAGCTTTCTTGCTTAACCGTATTGCACTGCATAACAGCACCTCGTACAAGGTCACAAGGATAAAGGAACCGTCATCATGGGGAACTGATCGACGAGTTTATGAGTAAGGGCACATTGAAAAAGATTGGACATATTTTCGTGATAGTGAATCTTGCCTTAGAAATTTCATGATTTTCCGGCATACAGGTCGATCTATCGGACGACATAATGTGATCGACTGCACCTCAACCGAACCTGGCGACTTGGTTATATATGGCGGCTTCAAAACCTGTTTCCATTGAGCGAATGATAAGGGATGCGTTCTCACCTGAATTAAAGGCTTCTTCCATGACGGCCTTACTTGAACAGGATCTGTTCTATAGGCTCGTACCTCTGTGTCTTTTAAAGGCTTCTTCCATGAACTGCACGTGTTAAAAGATTCCTTGTCACTACGCTCTCTAACGGCTTTGGACAGGGACGGAGAACTTGACCTGTACAGAGAGAGGACAAGCAAAGTCACCAGTAGAGTAGTACCTCGAGTAATCTTGCAGGAAAGACTTACATCAGAGAACTGTACATAAATTACAGCAAGGGACAAGAAACAACCCAGGATAGCAACATTTAACCTCATCTGGGTAAGCTTACGATGGTTTCGTAACCACAACAGCTCTGCAGACAGAGTGCGAGAAAGAAAAGGCATGATACTGGAACACAGGAGCCTGAAGGAAGGAAGACATCCTGGCATAACCAACAATCTGCAGGCGGCTGTAATGTAAAGCCTGCCACTTCTGCAAGGAAAACAGACAGTGTAACAAAAAAAGTGAAAAGCAAACTCAGTCACCATTTCCCCCTTGCGTACATTATCTGACCAAGCACATCCACAAGAAACAACAAGAACGAACTTTGGTGGGGAATGAGAGAGGACAAACCATTTTTAAGATTTTAGATCTCCACAATTGCTCCACCTCAGCATTTGCTCAATGGAAACAATGGCAATGCAACGAGATATTGGAGTCTTTGCATTTCAGAGATGTGATGGGGATAGCCTGTCCCACAGCAAGTCAGGGTCAATCATCATCGCAGCAGCCTTCCTGGAAAACCACAAAAAACTGGAATCACAAAACTAATAGAATCTAAGCAATTTTATGCAAGATTTCGCGCTTCAAATCCGCACATAAGCCAAATGGATAGCCTTTCAACTTAAGCGCTACCGATAACTCTGTGTTTTCCGTGGTGAGATTCAAACATGCTCTGGTGCCTCTTTCCGACTGCCTATCTACTAAAGTTTACTAACGTTAGTCGTGGCTGAGGCACGAGACTCATATGATATAGTCCAGTGTGTCTCCTGTCATGCCTCGATTCTTTTCTTCCCAATCAAGGATTTTATTTTTATTCATTTGATTCTACGAAATAATCTATCAGGACTATATTTCCAAGGAAGGAATTGAAGGAAACAACGAGAAACATATTAGCATGAGTTTATTTCAGTCATCAAAGACTTCTATTATATCTGGAAGAGAAATATAGAGGCTTTATTTTATATAATCACTGCTTGTTTAATAGAGCTAATGTCTAAATGGCCAAGGAGCAGTTTACCAGCGTCTGAGTATGTTGACGTTTTGTTTTCTCGGAGTAGATCGATCAATCAAGTTTCCGCAGCCACTGATGTCTATGCTTTCCAGTTGCTTCAAACCAGATAAGTCGCCTGCTGACAATCTTTGCAAGGATGTGCAGCCACTGAGCTTTAGGCGCTCAAGAGATTTCAACGCAGCAAGTCCCTCAATCTCCTGCAGATTTGGAGCATCAGTGATAGTTAACCTCTTCAAGTTTCGGAGCTTTGACAGAAAAGGTAGTTCCCACATTGAGGCCCAGCCACCCAAAATCAGTTCATCGAGCTCTTCCATAGACTCAACCCACTCCAAGGGTAATTCCACATCTACATTATCAACCCCCATCATCATAAGTCTCAATGTCAGAAGGCTAGGGAACTGTGACAGCTGAAGCATCCGGCACAAGATCTGCACAAATGATGAGGTCCCACTGATGGACAGATATCGTAAAGAGTAGAGTACAGCTGGTAACTGGCAGTTGCTACAGCCACCACCACCACCACCATCTAGGTCGGGGAATGACAGTGATGTGAGAAGAGGGCAGTTGGTTATGGTTAAAGTTTCTAACTTGTTAAAGGACAAGAGAGCTCCAAAGCCAAGGAGACGAGTCAAACTCTGTGCACTATCAATCCTGAGAAGCTGCAACATTTTCAGCCCTCCAAGCCCTTGGATTTCTGCAACAAGAGGGCAAGAGCATGCAATTAACTCACGTAACTTGCTCAAAGACGCAAGGCTGGGTAGTCTTTCCAATGCCTCGCATTCCGAAACGCTCAACTTAGTCAAAGAATGGAGACTGTCAAGACCCGGGATTTCTTTAATCAGGGGACAGAAGGAGATTACTAATAGAGTCAAGTTCTCCAGGTTCTCTAGTCTTGGGAGCCACTCCAATTCCCGACACTCCAAGATGTGGAGGGTGGTTAGCGATGATGGAAGCAACAACTTAGTTGGGAGAGTCAACTTTGTTCTCGTTAGCCTGAGAGACTTCAATTTGGATAACTTCCACCACGTATTGCTATCAGTGTCTGCTGGCGGGATCTCAAGCCCATACCTACCACAATCTTCAACTGTCAGTTCCTCCAATTCTCTCAGCTCTGGAAGATTAGCAACCGGAGAGGAAGTCAGTAGCACCTTCAAACTTGTGGGAAGCTTAGACCCCAACAGCAAATTCTCTCTACGCAATACAAATCGTCCCAGAGTATATTTCACGTCCACTCTCAAGACATCAAGAAACTGCAACTCCCCAATATCAGCAAGCACTTCTCTTGGATTCTTTTCACAATAAACATTTTTGAGTTCAAGCTCACAAAGTCCTTTCAACATCCCAATGGTTCCGCCCCTAATCTCCCTTACCTTACAACTCCGCAGGCGTAACTCTTTTAGGCTCCTCAAATTCCCAATATCCAGGTCCTTCGGAAACAATAAACTGCCGAAATGAAGAAGATGTAAAATCTCTAGGCTCTGGGATTCAGGGAACTCAGGAATGCGGGTCAGGCCATAATGACCAAAAACTTTCAGAACTTTCAGCTTGTGTGCCATCTGCTTGCCCAAGTTAAACAGAGGAAGAAAGACAAAAGTCATGTGCCGCAGTTTCTTAGTATTTATCAAGACATAAGACCATTGGATGCGTTTGAGTTTAGAATGGTTTTTCAGAAACACAAGTCTACGGAAATGTTAATTCCATGTTCCACGAAAACATCAAACCTTGATTTCTATTGTTTTCTTTTTTAAACAAAGCATTGTGGATGGAGTAAGGTCATACCTTGATATGCGTCAACCCTCCCCAATCATCGATTACTGGGCTTAAGAGTTGAAGAATCACCAAGTTTTTCATACAAAACTTAGGCAGAACCTCACCAGTTCCAATCTTCAATTGAAGCCATCTTAAATTTGGAAGATAATTGCTAAAATCGCCAGTGAGCCTCTTCACATTTACATCAAGATATCTTAATTCTGATAAATTCATAAAGCATTCCTTCTCAAGCTCATCCACAACACCATTTAATCTAGTGCCCTCGACCCGGTTTGTTCCCTGCGAAAACAAATCAACAACTCAAAAACTAAAAGGGAGGATAGTCAAAGCTGAAGACGTTTATGATGATGTTGAACATGTCTGTAGTTGTTTCACCTCACTAGAAATGAAACAAGTTGTGAAGTTCAGGTATTCATTTCCAAAGAATCGAAGATTAGTGGTTTACTTGAGAGAAAGGACCATAATCAGAAGCCAAAACATCATTAACCCTGAAGTATACATTTTATTTAACATATAATTATATATATCTGCAGCAAACGGACACATATAACAGATCATTCAAATGAGACATGTGGAACGTACCTTTCTGTTACGTAACATGTCTAAAGCTATCTGCTTCGACCATATTCTACTTCTCTGCCATGGATGCTTCATATTTTCTTTCCTGACGATCTCTCTACCCATATCCCTGAGTTGATCATGCATCTCGAACTCATTATCATCCCCAATTTCAATCATCGACCTTTGAATGAGGATATTGATATTGATTATTGGGAAAAAACTACAACCACTCCACATGTAAGAAGGAATCTTGGTCTCCATTCCAATGAAGAAACAAGCAATATCCAAGAAAATCTCTTTCGCCTCATTATTTAATGCATCATAGCTTATTTTCAACCTTTCTGCAACCTTTTCCTCAGGAATTTCTTTTAGTTGCTTTAGTTTTTCTTTCCAAATCAGATCCTCCTCTCCATATAAAAGTGAGCCTACCAATTTGAGTGTCAATGGAAGTCCAGCTGCAACTGATACAATATCTCTCGACAAAGTCTGATAACTTGATGGAGGAGAATCCTTTCTGAAAGCGAACTTGCAGAAGAGTTGAAGTGCGTGAGGATTACTCATCTCTCGAACTCTATATAACTTGGATTCTTCAGTCAGAGTACGCAAGACTTTTACGTTTCTAGAAGTAATGATAAATCTACTTCCCGAGACATTATCCTCAGTTTTTCCCAATATCTCGTTGAATTCAAACTCCTCATCCACGTCATCGAGCACAATAAGAAATTTAAAACGAGAAATTCTATCTTTCAGAATTCTGATTCCTTCACCAACATTGGCAATGGATTCGACATATTGTGTTCTTAAAATGTCTGAGATGATATGCTTCTGCAGAATCATAACACCATCCTTTTGTTGTAGCATTTCCCTTATATTTTCGACAAAGCTACAACGATCAAATTGACCAGACACTTTGTCATAGACAGCCTTAGCAATAGTGGTCTTACCGACACCACCAATGCCGTGAATCCCAACAATTGTCACGCCTCCAGAGTCTAGAGTCATTCTTTCTTTTACTGTTTCTGTGTGACTATCAATACCAATCAACTTATCTGTCTCTATTATATTGTTCTTCTTGCTTAGATGTGACCATACATCGCCAGTGACAAGATCTGCTATAGCTCCTTGCCTGGAAGAATATGGATTTCAATGATATCAACCACAGTATAAGACAAACTAATGAATGAAGAATATGGTTACGTACTCATTATTGCTTTTGATGTGCCATCCTTTCTCACCTCCAACCTTGCTCATTGCATCTTTCCATACCTGTATGGTCTTTTCATCGAAATTCTTCTTGTGTTGTTGGAATGCCTTCTTGAAAGGCCCAGTTTGATGTCGAACATCTTTCGGATCCACCATGTAAAAAATGGGGAGCATGATGCATCCCTTGTCTTGCTCTTTCCGCTCAACAATAGCGGCAAGCTCTTTAAGGCACCATTTGCTATCAGCATAATTCTTTGACAAGATGGGAACAAAAATCTTGGATTGGTCAATAGCCTTGACGAGACTTGGCCAGATCCCTTCTCCTTTCCGAAGCTCGTCGTCATCTTTGAATGTGTGGATTTTCAAGTTAACTAGAAACCGGTAGAGGATATCAGTAATTTGATGACGGGTGTCTGGACCTCTGAAACTCAGAAACACTTCGTATTCTCCTGTTGGCAGGGGCAGCGAACAGGAATCCTTTTCTGGAGAGGCATCGTCAATACTGTTCGAGGCGCCGGAACTTCTACTTCCCGTCCATAGCTTGTGCAGGAGAATAAGGGGAAGCACCAATGCAGCCGCTGTCAAAGCTCCTCTACCCATTTCTTCATTACAAATGATAAAGTTAGAACTTACACCAGCCCATCCTGAGTCAATAATCTATATGGCAACACTGTAAACTACTCTGATCCTATGTTTGATTTGGTATATTTTTTTATAGTTAATAATACTTGTCAGAAACAATGAGGGCTTAAACGAGAAACTGAAATAGTTCAAGCATGAAAATGAGGAATGAAAAAATTTCTAGGACTGGCAAAATCGAAGCAGGAAGATTTCGAAGGATCGGAGCACGAATTGAGAATCGTTCTGTTCTCTTCCAGCTACTAATTATCAACAAGTAAGGAATCAATCGGTATAATCCGACAATTATAGAGCAGAGGGAGGGGAAGGAAGAAATAATCTTACAGGGAGCAGGGTTGATGCATGGCGACCGCCGCTCAAGCACAGGAACTGGGGAAAGAATGCGGAAGCGAGACAGAGAGAGGAGAGCGTCCGATATCGGCTGCTTCTGCAAATTCTTGAAACGGATTAAGTGATAGAAGAAAGGAACGAAACCGACGACTGAGGGAAGATAGGGAAGGCGCCGTTGACTTACGAGTGGAGAATGGAGAGTGCAGTTCTGGAATGGACAAAGATAAGATAACAGGTTGCGGTCCGGAACACACCGATATCTAACATCTATACGTCATACAACACTCATTAATAATCCAATCAAATTTCGGGCCAAAAAATCGAATTCCAATGTAGAAATATAGAGGAATTTTTTTTTTTGTGATAATCAAAATATAGAGTAACTAGCATAAATGGACCATATGAATGCCTTTGTACAAAATGATCGCAAAAGTCAATTGTACACAATTGGATAGCATAAGATATAATGTGTAACAAAATGATACTTTCGTATATTGGCATCCAAATTCTTGTTAGATTATCCCATCAGCATTCGTAGTGGCTGGATGGTTGTTTGTCGAGATTGATGACCCTTTCTTGATGGAGCTTGTGACGCTCAGGGAGGCAATGCGTTGGTGTTTGTTGAGTGGTGTTACGAAGGTAGCTTTTGCCGAGGATGCTAAGGTGGCCCTTGATAAGATTTGTGATGGAATCATCACGAAAGTTAGGGGAGGAGCCATTCTGATAGACGTAGCTTTGCTTCGGGGCCATTTTCAGGGGTTTGGTGTGTATTTTTTATGGTCGTTTTAATAACAGGATTGTCCATTTGGTGGGGAAAAAAGCCCTTTGGTGGAATTCGATTTCAGTTTTTTTTCCGGATAGTGGAGATAATAAGTTTGATCACATTAGTTGTTGGCTTGTTGCCCACATTTGTATCATTGAGCTTTTTTTTTCCTCTTCAACACTATTGCTCTGCGTACCAGCTCCTAGCACAAGGTTACAACTTAAAATGGGATCAAGGAACCGTCGTCATGGGGACTCAGAAATCAGAATGGGAACTGACCGACGAGTTCATGAGTAATGGCACACCGACAAAGGTTGGACAAATTTTCGTGCTTGTAAAGCCTGCCTGAGAAATTTCATGATTTTCCGGCATATAGGTCGGTCGATCGGACACTGTGCTTGACTATATACTGCAGAGAGAGGACCAGCCCAGCCATGCCCTGAGTAGTACCTCGAATATATACTGCAGAAGAGGTTTACATCAGGGGCCTGTACTCAAAGTAGAGCAAGGGACAAGAAAACAAGTCCAAATAGGCAAACATCACCGAAACAACCCAGGACAACAATTTCTAACCTCATCTGGGCTAAGCTTATGACGGCTTCATAATCACAACAGCACTGCAGAAGGAGCACGAGAATGAAAAGGCACGATCCTGGAACACAGGAGCCTGAAGCAAGGAGGGAAGACATCCTGGCACAGGGCCAACAATCTGCAGGCGGCTGTAATGTAAAGCCTGCCAGATCTGCATGGAAAACAGGCAGTGTACCAAAAAAGTGAACCGCAAACTCAGTCAGCTGCTGCAAGATACACAATACCAATTAGGAATCACTACCAAACAGCAATACAGCCCAGCCACAAGAAACAACAAGAACAAACTTTGGTGCGGGATGAGAGAGGACCAACCATTTTGATAGATTATTATTTTCACAATGCCTCCACCTCGGCATTTGCTCGCAAGCAACATAGGCACGGCAACAATAAAACAACGAGATATTAGAGCCTTTGCTCAATTTAGGGATATTATGCAGATGGCCTGTCCCACAGCATGTCCGGGTCGAGCATCGTCACAACAGCCTCCCTGAAAACCCACAAAAATCTGGAATCACAAAGTAGTACAATCGTGGTAATTTTAAGCAAAATTTCTTGCTTCCAATCCACACAAAATCCAAATGGATGACCTTTCAAATATGACAAAGGTCCCAAATTCGAATATGGTCAAGCCTCCATTCTTCTCTTCCCTGTCAATGATTTTACTTTTTATTTCTTCAATTTTAAGGAATACCTTATCCGAACTTTTTATTCCGAGCCAGATGTATAAGGTAAGGTAATAGCAAGAAACATATGAGCATGAGTTTCTCAGTCATAAAAAAAAAATTAGTATATCTGGAAGAGAAATCTTGATTCATACAATCACTGCCTCCTTAGTAGAGCTAATGGCTGAGTGGTCAAGGAAGGAGAAGCAGAAGGTTACCAGCGTATGAGTGCAGTGAGGTTTGTTTTTCTCGGAGTAAATTGATCAGCCAAATTTGCGCAGTCACTGATGTCTATGCTTTGCAACTGTTTCAAACTAGACAAGTCATCTGCTGGCAATCTTTGCAAGGATGTGCAGCCAGTGAGCTTTATGTGTTCCAGAGATTTCAAACCAGCAAGTTCCTCAACCTCCTGCAGGTTTGGAGCACCAGCGATAGTTAACTTCTTTAAGTTTCGGAGCTTTGACAGAAAAGGTAGTTTCCAAACTGAGACCAAGCCACTCAAAGTCAGTTCAGCTAGCTTTTCCATAGATCCAATCCACTCCAGGGGTAACTCCACATCTACATTATCAATCCCCATCACCTTAAGACTGAATGTCAGAAGGCTAGGGAACTGAGCCAGCTGAAGCATCTGGCACAAGATATCCAGAACTAACATGGTTCCGCTGATGGACAGATATCGTAAAGAGCAGAGTACAGCTGGTAGCTGGCAGTCACCGCAGCCATCATCACCATCATCAAGGTCATGGAATGACAGTGATGTGAGAAGAGGGCAGTTGGTTATGGTTATGGTTTCTAACTTGTTAAAAAACAAGAGGTTTCCAAAGCCAAGGAGACGGGTTAAATTCTCTGCACTATCAATGGTAAGATGTTGCAACGATTTCAGCCCTCCAAGCCCTTGGATCTCTACGACAAGAGGGCAAGCGGATGTAAATAACTCATCTAACTTGCTCAGAGACGCTAGGCTGGGCAGCCTTTCCATTGCCTTGCATCCCACAAGGCTCAACTTAGTCAAAGAAAGGAGACTTCCAAGACCCGGGATCTCTTTAATCAGGGGACAGGATGAGATTATTAATTGAGTCACGTTCTCCAGGTTCTCTAAACTAGGGAGCCAATCCAATTCCTGACACTCCAAGATGTGGAGAGTGGTTAGAGATGATGGAAGCAACAGCCTAGTTGGGAGAGACAACTTTGTTCTCTTGATCTTGAGAGACTTCAATTTGGATAACTTCCACCACATATTACTATCACCATCGGCTGGCGGGAGCTCAAGCCCAAATGTGTCACAATCTTCAACTGTCATTTCCTCCAAGTCCAGCAGCTCTGGAAGGTTAGCAACAGGAGATGAGGTACGTAACACCTTCAAACTTGTTGGAAGCTTAATCCCCAACAACAAATTCCTCCAGGGGAACAAATATTCTGCCCCACCATTTTTCACGTCTACTCTCAAAATTTCAAGAAACTGCAGGACCCCAATATCAGCAAGAACTTCTCTTAGATTCTTCCTACAATAGAAATCTCTGAACTCAAGCACTCGAAGCCCTTTCAACATGCCGATGGTTCCGCCCCTAATCTTCCTTACCTTACAACTCCGCAACTGTAGCTCATTTAGGTTCCTTAGGTTCCCAATATCAAGGTCCTTAGGTGACGACATACTGCCAAAATATAGAAGATGTAATATCTCTAGGCTCTGGGATTGAGGAAACTCAGGAAAGGAAGTCAGGCCATAGTGACCAAAAACTTTCAGAACTTTCAGCTTGTTTGCCATCTGCTTGCACAAGTTAAACGAAAGAAAGGAATAAAATAAGAAAAGAAGACATGTACCACATGAGTTGTTTAAGTGTTAATCAAGAAATAAGATTAATGGATGTGTCTAAGTTTGGATTGGGGAAAAAACTTGTACAGTGCACATTTTTTCAATCTAAATAGGAAAAACTATTCATGGCTAGCCTCATAAATTATTCAAAACTAAAAACCGTAACAACTAAAACAATTTTACTTTCAAGTATGTCTCTTATAAAAATATGTTATTTATGAATTTGAGCAGTAGTCCCTAAACTCCTCACTAGCACTCTTTTTTTGCCAAAAGCTCATTTGTATTACCAAGTTATACAAGAATCACAAAACTGAGAATTAAAACCTCCCCGACATAATTCCCTTCATCTTCTTCTACAACTTTAAGCAATAGTTTCTACATTAGAAAGAGGCTAAACACATTTCTTTTTTCTTTTTCTAACGAATCTGTATGGATTGAGTAACAGACATACCTTGATATGCATCAAACTTCCACAATCATCTTTCATTGGGCTTAAGAGTTCAAGAACAACCAAGTTTTCCATAGAAAACTTAGGAAGAACCTCACCAGTTCTAATCTTCAATTGAAGCCATCTTAAGTTTGGAAGGTACATGCTACAGTCACCTGTAAGACTCTTCACTTTTGCATCAAGGTATCTTAATTCTGATAAATTCATAAAGCATTCCTTCCCAAGTTCCTCCGAAAATTCATTTAATCTAATGCCCTCAACTAGGTTTGTTCCCTGCAAAATAGAACTCAGCAACTCAAAAACAGAAATGGTGAAGAATGAAAGCAGAAAATGCTCCCCAAGGTGTTAACCATGTTTGTCCTTTGTAGTTGTTTCCCCTCACTAAAATTAAAAGAAGATGTGAAGTTCAGAAATCCATTTGAAATGGATCAAAGATTAGGGATTCGCTTAAGAAAAGTACTAAAATTGAAAGAAGATGTGAAGTTCAGGAATCCATTTCAAATGAAACAAAGATTAGAGATTCACTTAAGAAAAATATCAAAATCCAGAAGATGTGGAAAATACCTTTCTATTACGTAACATGTCCAAAGCTATCTGCTTTGACCATATTCTGCTTCTCTTCCATGGATGCTTCGTATTTTCTTTACGAACAATTTCCCTACCCATATCCCTGAGCTGATCATGCATCTTGAACTTATTATCCTCCCCAATATCAATCATAGACCTTTGAATGAGAATATTAATATTAATTGTTGGAAAAAAACTACAATCACTCCACATATACGAAGGAAACTTTGTCTCCATTCCAATGAAGAAACAAGCAATGTCCAAGAAAATCTCTTTTGCCTCGTCATTTAATGCGTCATAGCTTATCTTCAACCTTTCTGCAACCTTTTCCTCGGGAGTCCTCTTTAGTTGCTTCAGTTTTTCTTCCCAAATATATTTCTCCTCTCCGAATAAAAGTGACCCTACCACCTTGACTGTCAATGGAAGTCCTGCTGCAACAGCCACGATATCTTTCGACAAAGTCTCATGACTTGATGGGGGAGAATCCTTTCTGAAAGCATACTTGGAGAAGAGTTGAAGTGCGTGATCATGATTCATCTCGCGAACTCTATATAGCTTGGATTCTTCCGTTAAAGTACCCAAGACTTTTACGTCTCTGGAAGTAACGATAAATCTACTTCCCGAGACATTATGCTCTATTTTTCCAAATATCTCACTGAATCCAAACTCCTCATCCACATCATCGAGCACAATAAGAAATTTGAAACAAGAAATTCTATCTTTCAGAATTCTCATTCCTTCTCCAATATTGACAATGGAGTCGGCATATCGCGTTCTCATAATGTCTGAGATGATATGCTTCTGCAAATTGACAACACCATCTTTTTGTTGTAGCCTTCCCCGTATATTTTCCACAAAGCTACAACGATCAAATTGAGCACCACTTTGTCATAAACGGCCTTTGCAATAGTGGTCTTACCAATACCACCAATACCGTGAATGCCAACAATTGTCACACCCCCGGAGTCGAGAGTCATTCTTTCTTTTATTGCTTCTGTGTGATGATCAATACCAATCAGATGATCAGTCTCTATTACAGAATAGGTCTTGCTTAAATGTGACCATATATTGCCAGTAATAAGATCTGCTGTAGCTCCCTGCCTGGAAAATATGGTTTTCAATGATATCAACCACATTATAAGACAAACTAATAATGGTCAAAACATTCATTTCTTTTTACTTTCAGTGATGAAGGAACAAGTTAAAGGAGATCAAGGGAATTAAGAACAGAAGAAAGGGATAAAAACTACAATTAAATTATTGAAGAATGTAATAAAACGCAGGGTGAGGTTGCCTACTCATCATTGCTTTTGATGTGCCATCCTTCCAAAGCTCCAACCTTGGCCATAGCATCTTTCCATACATGTCTTGTCTTTTCATCAAACTTCTTCTCATGTTGTTGAAATGCTTTCTCAAATGGCCCAGTTTGACACCGTACATCTCTCGGATCCACCAAGTAAAAAATGGGGAGTATGATGCGACCCTTCTCTTGCTCTTTCCGCTCGACAAATGCAGCAAGCTCTCCAAGGCACCATTTGCTATGAGCATAGTTCTTTGAGAAGATGGCAACAAAAATCTTGGACTGCTCAATAGCCTTGGCGAGACTGGGCGGGAATGCTTCTCCTTTCCGAATCTCCTCATCATCCTTGAATGTGCGAATTTTCAAGTTAACAAGAAACCGGTAGAGAATATCAGTAATTTGATGGCGAGTGTCCGGGCCTCTGAAGTTCAAGAACACCTCATATTCCCCAATGGGCAGGGGGAGCGAACTAGAACCCTTTTCTGGAGAGACATCCTCAATAGTTTCTGAGAGGATGGAACTTCTTCTTCCCGACCATAGCCTGTGCAGGAGAATAGGTGGAAGCACCAACCCAGCCGTTGCCAAAACTCCTCTATTCATCTCTTCACAAGAAATGATAAGATTAGGTCAACCCATCCTGAATCAAATACCATACACTGCAAGCCTGTAAACTACACTAAAGCTATTTTTGGTTCCTTGTATTTTATGCTGAAAATTGTGTAAAGATAACCCCAACTCTTTCTACCCAAGTATTTGAGATTTGAATCACTTTGATGCATTTGAGATTCCATGTGCGTGCAATTCCAAATGCACTCAAACACATAAGCAATGTCACAACAAAATGATATACTTGTCCAACTGCATGCAAATGCAAATCTCACCCTCCCAAATACTCAGAACCAAAAGACCAGTTAGTTCTTGTACAGACTCTTGCTTGATTATTTCCTTTCAAGAGGAATTACAGCCAGGTAGCTACACCAATGTCAATGATTATAAGCTCTGAACTGTACGAAGGATGAGAAAGACAGATGAGCATGCAAAATCAGGAACAATGAGGGCCTAAACGAAACACTGAAATAGTTGAAGCATGAAAACGAAGGATGATAAAATTCCAGAACTGAGAGGTCTCTCGAACGCGAAGCATGAAATTGTCGAAGGATCGCGAAATTGAAATCGTTCGTCCACTTCCAATTACTAATTCAGACAGTGGGGGAAGAAAGATGTAATATTCTTACAGGGATTTTTGGTTGATGCACGGGCGGCCACTCAAGCGGATGAGGGAAAAACAATCCGGAAGCGAGTAGGAGAGAGAGCGCTGCTTCTGCAAATTCTTGAAATGGAGGAGAAATTGATGAAGAAAGAAACGACGCCAACGACTGGTTGTGGTTGGGAAGGAAGATTAACATTGACTTGAGAGTGGAGACTGAAGCTCTGCCTTAGATTTTTTCCGCTGTTTTTATTTGACTCCAATTATTTGTACTTGTGTAGCTAACCGCGATTGCACTTTATGCTGTTAGTGTTTAGTGTTTACCATTAACTGCATAATGCGGTATTAATTATGGGACTGGTTACCGTGCTAATTGTACAAGAGTTAGCACCATTCTAATCAAGGGTTAGTAGTGATTTAGCTTAGATGTTGTATTGATTTTATAATAATTCGTAGTGATTTCGTTGTTTTTAGTAGCGTTTTTTGCTCGTTATCACGGTGCTAACCCCCTATAAGAGTTAGCACTTAATCCCATCCCAATAATTATTCACTTACCATCCAACAACATGAATAAATAAAGACTAATATAACTACAACAATCCAACTATACAAAAAATTGTCATTTATGTCTTATTTTATTCAATATTTCATTCTTCTCCTGAACTTTTTTTTTCTTCTGTTAGTGTTGACCGTTAGTATATACTATATAGCAGAAAGTTTAGCCAGCGTCATCGTTATGGCATCATAAGAAAAAATTTAAAAACAATTTTTATTTGTTTTTCATGTCACTTAACTGGGAGAGAGAGGTTTTGGTGGGTGTTATAGCAAGTCAGATTTCGAGGGCAAAGACTCTGGTTTGATTTGAAATCATTTTTGCTAAAAAATGTGTAAACATAAGAATTTAAATGATAAAAAGAACATTAGAAACTAGCTCAACAAGCCACCGGGTCAAGCTAGCTCATGAGCTTATCAAATCTGAGCATGGACTAGCTCAAATTTAGCTCGTTTACTAACAAATCGCCTTACGAATTGGCTTGTTAAACAACGAGTCAAGTGTCAAACGAATTTTTTTTATTCAAATACCGAGTTGCTCGTGAACGGATTGACTCATTTGCAGCCCTAGTTGAAATCCTGTGCAAAAGATGGACAACATACTTTAGCTGAATGATTAAGAAAGTTTTATGCTCAACGGCTTGGATGCGAAGCTAGTGAAATTATTTCACCTAGATTAAAAAATATGATTTCAACATATTGACGTTGGAACAAGATGGAAAAGAAAAAAATGACAAATTGAAATTTAGTGACCTAAAAGAAAAACTCGCGACCAGAAAGTAGATGAATGAGCATTGATTCAAGGCTGTCTTTTTTTTTCACCGTCAGATGAGTGATTTGAATGAATTAAATATTTTTTGGCTAAAAAATAATAGTAATCAAATTATTCCGAGAAAACTGTATACTCCACACAGTCCACACAAATCAGAATTTCGTCATAAATCAACTACGGAATTTGGAGGTGAAGAGTGCTTGTATGATTCACACATTTGCTCCACCGTCATCCCCGCCGCTTCCTCCACCGTCGCTCGATCCCTCCACCCGCTCCTCAGCGCTTGATTCAGCCGCCGGATGAATCCCTTGCTATGCCGCTCGCTGTGCTCCATAATTCCCGCGAGCATCCTAGCATCCGTCGTTTCCCCCCAGCATACCCGCCGCCGGCCGCCACCGTTCTCCGCCGGCAATTCCTCCCAGCTACCACCGACGCCGAAACCTGCCATTCTGCTCACGCACTCCATGGCAGCTTCGATCACCCACGACGGAGCTCTGGACTCCTCCCCGCCGTCCCACAACCAGACTCTTGCCATGTGTTTACACCTAAAATTAATTCGGCCAGAATTAAATGCCGCATTAGTCTCGGCATTTAAATCGATACCGTGGGTAAAAAACGGTGTCGTTGGGAGTCGAGCAGTGTCGCGGAGAACTAAAACAGTACCGCAAGGAATCTCAACGGTACCGCAACGCTGGAAACGACACCGCTTGCCGAAAATAAAAAAAGAGGGCCGTGTGTTTAATGGGGTTGAAGGAGGAGTCTTTAATTGTTTAATTATTATTTTTTATTCCTTGTGAGAAGCGGCACCGCGGGGAGTTAAAACGATACCGCGAAACAGAAAATCGGTGCCGCGAGGAAGCTCGGCGGTACTGCGGAACTGGAGAGGGGCCGCGCAGTGTAGGTGTTGGGGAAGGAGTTTTGTTTATAATTAATTAATATTTTTATTCCTTGTTGGAGGAGGAAAATCGGTACCGCATGGAGTCAAGCGGTATCGCGGAGAGTTAAAACGGTACCGCGAGTAGGCCCAACGGTACCGCGGATTAGCAAACGACAGTGTTTAATAATAAACAGTGTCGCGGAAGAAAAAACAAACGGAGTTGGTTGGGAAAGAAAACGACACCGCAAGGCTGGAAGCGGAGTCGTTTAATGTTAAAACGATGTCGCGGGTAGAATCAAGCGGTACTGCTTAGTTAAAAACGACACCGTTTAAGGCATCAACAACGCCGCAGTATCACTAAGCGGTGTCGTTTAGTTAAAAACCATACCACAACGGTTTGGATTTTGGCGATGCCTGGCAAGCACAACGGTGCCGTTTGGTTGAAAAAGAAACAATGTCGCGGAATGGAAAACGACATTGTTTGTCAACATCGATTAGTGAAAGGTGATGCCGCGGTATTGGTGAAACGACATCGTTGCATGGACAAGGTTGTAGGATTTGGCTCAATGTCGTTTCGCCAAGTTTCTGCAAACAGGAGCGGTTTCGATGGCACGTGATTTTTACGCAAAGCAGAAAGAGGAGATCAAGGCAGTTGAGACACGTGGGATTTCACAACGAAGCAGTTGAGGAAGCGGTTCCACCGAGCGTGAAGGCTACGAAGCAGTTTTTCGAATAAAAGCAGTGGAGCAAGGAGAGAGAAGGGGACAACCAAAAATCAACACAGATCAACTCTGTTCAAACTTTATCTTTTCTCTGTAACTCCTTCGCGGAGCTCTCCTTCCAGGAAGGATCTCCATAGTTGTAGTCTTAGTCGTAGTCGCGGAGCTCTCCACAGGAATCTCCATAGGAGTAGCGGTAGTGTAGATTCCTCAAAAACTCAAACACCCTCGTTCGAACGTAGTTTGGAGAGGTGCGAACCGTAGTCACGGTCGCGTTGGTTAGAAGTCAGAGGTGAATCGATTAAATCAACGACGCCGACATTCGGTGGCGGATATTTGACGGTCACGTCGATTTCACCATTCAGAGGTGCATCGATCAAATCAACACCGCCCGGTGGATATTTGACGATCGTCATCGAATTCAGCAAACAGCGGTGCATCCGATCAAACGGCACCGCAAGAGTTTCCATCGCGAAACATCAAATCAACATCGCCGGGAACGAATTCGGCACCGGCGGTGGTATTTGGTTTTTTCGGGGAAACACCATGCCTCGCAAGACGGCGGAAGCAATTGCAGAGTCTCTGCTCCCGGCAGTCAGACCTTGCATCAGGGACGGACTCAATCGGATGACAAATTTGCCTCCGTGGTTCGTGACGGTTTCATCAGCGGTTAGGTTGCTGGTGGAGGCAAGACGGAGGGCGACCCTGTGAACTGGCTTCTTGTGATTTGGATGGTCTTCTGGGGCGTAGACCAAGTGCTCGACGAAAGTACTGGCGTTGAGGAGAATTCTGGTGGCTCGGTCATTTGAGATGTAGAAGAGGTCGAATCGCTTGCCAGCCGGAGAGTCTCTGGCATCGTTAAAGATTTGGACTTGGAAGCCTTTAGATGCTTCGTGGTTGGCCCATAGAGAGATCAGCCCGACGGAGAGGATTAATGTCAGGCGGAGGAAGACATCAGAATTGGAGGAGAAGAAATTTCTGTTGTCAAAACGGGCGGTGGAGACGACGGTGGGCGTGGGCAGAAGCGGACGGTGGAGGTGGGAAGTGGAATGTTGGTCCGCCATTGATGATGGTATAATAGTAACAAGCAGGGCCGTCCCATTATATTCGGAGGCCCGGTTCAAAAATTTAAATGTGGCCCCAAATTTTTTTCTCTCAAATATGTTCAAAATAAAAATAAAATTATTAAATAATAATAAAAATTATATAACTTCAAAAAATTATTACAAATTAATAATATTATATATTATCAAATATTACCTACACTTAGAAACTATCTTTTTGAAATTTTTGGGTTGACATAATTAAAAATTATAACTAAAGATTAATAATTCCAAATTTTCAATCAATATAAGTTCTCTGCAAAAGAAAAATAAAAAAGATTAGAACTTAAAACAAGTTGAGTAGGAGACAGGATAGTAGGGATGAGGACTTAATCAGAATTGAGTATGAACAATTAATATTTATGCGTTGGATGCTTTAGGGAAGTTGAGAAATTTTGGGGAAAGAAAAGTATAAATAAGTTAATTGATACTTAAATTCAACAAACCAATTGTAGCTTAGTGGTTGAATTTTGTTTTAATTAAGAAGAGGTCGGTGGTTCGATTCTCCTCCCCTCCCTCCCTGCGTCTTTGTACAATTGGTTTTTGTGTGGCCTTGTGGGCTTCCCAAGCGGGAGGGTCTCCTGTCTTGTCTTGTAACAAGGGGGTTTTGTGTGGCAACTTGGGCTTCGCTAGCCCAAGTGGGCCTCCGGTCGTATGGATTATGGGCCCCCTAAAACTTGAGGCCCTGTGCTGTGGGTCTGAGCAGCACAGGGTCTGGGCCGGGCCTGGAAACAAGGGACAAGCTTTTGGAAGGGAATTATTGGTTTCTCAGGAACAGAAAACTGGCAATGAAGTAGATAATTCATAAGTGGTTGTCATATGGTTGAGCTGTGGGTCTCATCATGCCACAATGTGGGTTGCCGCCACTTTCTCATCTGTTGTTTAAAAATATTAATTTTGGTAGTCGATTCTCAACAAACATTGGGCACTGATTAATCATGTCTGTCTGGTTGGCCCATCCTACCTGGAATGGATATGATCATTTTTGTTTTATGTAAGAAGATTAAACAATGTGATAAATTGCAGGGAGTTGATTTCCTACGAGTTGGAAGGCTTGGCTCTGTTCATGAGGAAGTCCGAGGAAGTTGCTTTGCAGGTAAACAAACAGAAATATCATTGTCACTTGCTACTTTTATATAAGAGTCGCCCTTTTGCTGTTTCTCATAGAAAGTTGTGTGCTGCTGTGTTAATATAAAGATAACATGGAGTATATCAAGCCGAGATTAGACCAGGTGAAAGTTGTTGCTGTCACTTGTCTGGGAATTACTAGTTCCTTGCTCACTGGCAAGAAGTTTGATGTTTGCATCATGGATGAAGCTGGGCAGATCACTCTCATGGTATGTGATAGAAACCTGCATTTGAACTTATTTGATAGTTTATAAATGTTTATGGATTTATTGGGTATTTGGGAATTTAGATTGGGGGTTTAATAAGTTGGGGTAGTTATCGGTAATTAGGAATTGTTATTTAAACTATTTTCTACGTTGAATGAGATTATGGAATAATTAAACCTAAACCTAGCAGCTAATTCCTCTCCCTCTCTTCCTTCCCAGCCGACCCTCACTCTTCCTCTCTTCCTCGGCGACCACTGCAGCCGATCCCCTTCTTCCTTTCTTTCCTTCTTCTTCTTCCGCCGCACCACACCACTTCCTTCCCTTCCAATAATTCCCACTTCCCTCTTCTTTTCCCATACCACCCACGCAGCACCAGAAGCCTCCCTAAAGGCTTCCACCCTCACTTTTCCAACAATTTTCCATTGTTAGATAGAACCCTAATAACGGGTTTCTATCATCTGGTATCAGAGCTCAGGTTCTGATTATTGAGTTATCGCAACTCTACACCGGGACGGGCAGCCGCACCATGGCGATCAACAAGTCACCGGCAGAGAAGTCCGACGCTGGATCCATGGCAGCGGCCACGACCAGGGTTTCCCCACCCTTGGCGGACAACCGACGAGAAGGAGTCGTGGTGGACGAGACGGAGAGTGACGATCTCCAAGCCTCGATGCGCACCATCATGGCCATGCAGTTGAGGACCGACTCCAACATGGAGGAGGTACGGGCGAAGGTGGAAGAGGCCAGGCGTGAACGTGACGTGATCATGCAACTTCTCACCAGCATGCAGGAAGAGCAGAGGCGGCTGGCGGCGGCATTGGGGCTCGGCGGGGGAGATCAGAGCGGGGTAGAGGCGCCTCGGCCGAACTCAGCGGCGACGGCAGGACCTCGCGCGAGCGCAGGAGGAGGAAGCGCGGCTGTTCCGGCGGCGAGCGGGACTGCGGCGGCCTCGGCGGCTGGCGGGACGGCGATGGGGCCAGGAGGAGGCTCGGCCGCGACCAACGTAGGGCAGGCAACGGTCGAGCAAATGGGCCTCGAGGTTGAAGGCCCTCGTAATGGGCCTGGGCTGTTGCCGACTCCGACTGCTGAGGAGATCGCGGCCCTACGCGGCAAGGCGAAGATGCCGGGCTACGACAACGTGGTCCAGAACCCGTGCTTTAACCAAATGGGCCCACACTCCATGGAGCGTGAGATGGGCCGAGTGCAGCCGGCCAGGAGCGGGTACGATCGGGCAGGCGGGGCGGATCGGGCCCTGATGATCCAACCGGGCCCAAATGGTCGGACCGGGCCGGGCTGGGCCGAAGGCGGTCGGACCGGGGCTGGGTGGACCGAGGCCGGTCAGACCGGAGCTGGGTGGACCGAAGCCGGCCAGACCGGGGCTGGGCGGACCACCAACGGCGAACCGGGGTGGGCCGATTTACAAACGAACCCCACCGGTTTGGGCTGACTCCGGATGGCCGGCCAGTGGCTGAATGGCGGGCACAGCTGGAGGGTTCGAGTGCCTACGGACCTCCGTTAGCAGCAGCAGGGAACCCAGGGGTTCAACCGGGCGGGTACGGAGACTACTCGGGTGAGGCTGGGCATGGCTGGAGTGCAGGAGGCGACGCAGGCGGACCCCCGAGGTATTACAGAGGTTACCCCAATGCTGGCAGGTATGGTGGATATGACCGGTATGATGATGAGTATGGGTTGGTGTTTAGGGCCAAGCCCCCGACCATTGAGTTTCCAAAATTCAATGGCCAGGAGGACGCCGGTTTATGGTTATATGCAGCTGACAGGTGGTTCAGAAATCACCCGACCCGGGAGGAAAGGAAGGCGCAACTGGCGTCCTTCTACCTGGAGGGAGACGCCCTGCACTGGTGGGAATGGTTGGAGCGATCCTATGCTGCCGCGCAGACGCTGATTACTTGGCCGATATTTCAAGAGGAGCTTCGCTACCAATTCGGCAAATCAGAGGGCTGGGCGCCGGAGCAGCTGGCCAATCTCAGGCAGACCGGTTCGGTAACTGATTACCGGGCAGAGTTCCTCAAATTGGGGAACCAGTGCAAAGGAGTTCCAGAAGAGACCCTGGTGGGGATGTGCATGGCAGGTCTAAAGCCTGAGATTGCTGCGGCAGTCAAGATTTTTGAGCCGGACACCTTGAGGGCTGTTTTTCGTCTTGCAGGGCACAAGAAGGAGGAGCTGGCGAGCTGGAGGAACATCATATGGCGATACCCCAAGCCGGGAGGAGGAGGCCACACCGGTGCAAGGAGTAGCGGGAGTGGCAACACCGCTATTACTGCCAGTGGCGGGGCTGGAGCGGCACCAGGAGCAGTGGCCCTGGCAGCCAGGCTTGGGCCGAGGGCTCCGCCTAAGGGCTTCGTCCGGCTAAGTTCAGCGGAGATAGATCAGAAGAGAAGAGAAGGCAAGTGCTTCAACTGCGATGAGCGATTCACCATTGGACACAAGTGCGCGGAGCCGGACTTGATGATGTTGGTGGGAAGATGGGAGGATGAGGCCGAGGACGATGCAGCGGAAGGCAAGGGTGAAGACCAGGTGGAGGACTGGCAAACTTGAGGACAAGGTTGATTCGAAGGAGGCGGAGATGATAGAAACCTGCATTTCTATTTAATTAGCAATTGAACTTATTTGATAGTTTATAAATGTTTATGGATTTATTGGATATTTGGGAATTTAGATTGGGGGTTTAATAAGTTGGGGTAGTTATCGGTAATTAGGAATTGTTATTTAAACTATTTTCTACGTTGAATGAGATTATGGAATAATTAAACCTAAATCTAGCAGCTAATTCCTATCCCTCTCTTCCTTCCCAGCCGATCCCCTTCTTCCTTTCTTTCCTTCTTCTTCTTCCGCCGCACCACACCACTTCCTTCCCTTCCAATAATTCCCACTTCCCTCCTCTTTTCCCATACCACCCACGCAGCACCAGAAGCCTCCTAAAGGCTTCCACCCTCACTTTTCCAACCATTTTCCATTGTTAGATAGAACCCTAATAACGGGTTTCTATCAGTATGTGTCAAGTGGGAGGTTTTGATTATGTTAAAGAATGCAAACAGTTGTTGAAAGTAAGAAAATGAAGTTTATTTAGTTTAATAACTGAGGGATCTACTGTCCATGTCAGATATCACTTGGACCTTTGATGTTTAGTTCGACTTGTGTTCTTGTTGGTGATCACTATCAACTACCCTCACTTGTTCTAACAAAGTTCAGATCTTTGTCTTCATCCAGTTTGGTTCACTTTGCTGCTGACATCTTATATCACATTCAAGTGATTGTTTGATGAATCAATTTGTAGAGTGCAGAGGCTCGAGAGAATGGAATGGGGATAAGTTTGTTCTGCAAGCTTTTGTGAAGCGCATCCTGAAGCAATTTCAGCTTTGCAGAGTCAAGTATCCTTTCATCATTGTAATAAAAACATGTACACATGATTTTTTTCTTCCTTTTTGCCAAGTATGATTTGAATATTTTGTCTCCATGCAGGCCTTGAATCCAGACAGAGCTGTGGTGTTCATCAACACAGACATGCATGCTGCCTACGCTTGTGGCAAAATGTTCGAAGTTGTTGAAGAACCTAATGGAAGCTTACATGGTCGCTGAGGTAAGTTTACTGCTTTGAGTTCTCATTATCGAAGTACAGAGTTATTTCCCCAGCTTGGTCTGATTCATATCAATGATCTAGATAGTCAACGTACTGACAAACAGTGGGACTGATGGCAAAGATATTGGAATCATCACCCCATACAACTCGCAGGCAAACCTTATCAAGGCTGTTATTCTTCCAATTTCTGTGGAAGTGCATACGATCGATAAGTATACCAGGTTGACATCTGGGACTGCATTTCCATTGCCACTTAGTTACTTAGATGATATAGCTTTCTGGTACTAATAATATACAATTTTTGTTTCTCAAACACAAAAAGCAGGGTAGAGATAAGGACTGCATAATTGTTTCTTTCGTGCGGTCCGGTCAATATCCCGGCAGTCACAGTTCTTCACTGCTTGGAGACTGGCATCGGATCAATGTAGCAATCACAAGAGCCAAGGTAGCAAATAACAGAAACATATGTATGTGCATACAGGATTCAGGTCAATTACACAAATGGTTTTTGCATTGTGCAGAAGGAGTTGATCATGGTGGGTTCGTGCAGAACACTGTTAAAGGTGCCATTGCTGAAGCTTCTGGTGGAGAATGTCGAAGAGCAAGCCGGCATTTTTGAATATGAGCAACAATAATATAAAACTGCAAGAACTGGAAAAGCTGGGATAAGGCCGCAGTAGCTAAAGGGCTGTAGTTTAGATGATTGGATCGATTGTGTAAATAGTAATTCTGGTGCTAAACTTTATGTAATTTTGTTATAGCAAATATGACACGGAAGATTTTTGTAGTAAGCCATCTAATAAAATCTAATGCATATGGCTAACCAACTCCAGCAGGTAAACATCTAAGCCATGGATTCTCTTCAATCGTATTTAGTACAACTAGTCACGGACCCAGCCAATCGGTCGGTTTCAATAATCAATTACGTAAACAACATTATCAAATTGTATGTGAAATACTTTCGTTTTGATAGTATAAGAAACTATAAAATAATTTAAATATTCAAAATATTCAAATTGATTGGTAGAATAAGAGAATTGAAATTATTAAAGTACTTCAACAATTCAAAATGATCGATTTCATAGTACTTTTCGAGATTGTAACTGACTCATCAACTAAAATCCTTTTATGAAAATGAAAGACAAACCCGAACAGACTCCTAAAGACATTTTAAAATCACCCTTCGATGTATTCCTCATCGTGAGAGATTGCTCACTACAGGAAAATTCACCTACGATCACGGGATTCTCGTGACTAAGCATGCAATTCCCGTGATGGAAAGCATTTGTCACGGTTTAATCCCATGTCAAACGCGCCCGTGATGGAAGGTCAAATATCACGGGACTTTCCCATGACAGAAAAGATACAATAATGGGAAATACCCCATGACAGATGATCTATTTTGTCATGGTAATTCATGTGACTGATATTTAAACACGGTACCATTACCGTGAAGAAACTATGATGTAGTCACGGGACTTCCCGTGACTTATTGGGTCATTCGTCACAGGGTTTGTCCAATAGTCACGGTATTGTAGTGATTGTGATCAATTTACAACAACATGTTTTGTCTCAATGGTCACAATGACCAATAATCGTTGGTCCTATTAATCACTGAAAAATCGAGAAAGCTTTCGATAACGTGAGTTAGGTATGTCTCTTCAAAGTTATGTCTAAATTGGGGTTCCCTCAGAAGTGGCAGGAGTGGATTCGCAGTTCGGTTTGTTCGTTGTCCATTTCTACGATTATCAATGGTGAAGCTAAAGGCTTCTTTCTTGTGGAAAAGGAGCTTCGTCAAGGTGATCCATTATCTCCTGGATTATTCGTTCTCATCATGGATGTGATGTCTTTTATGCTTTCCAAGTTGCGTGAAGCGGGAAAGATTAGTGATTTCTTTATGGATGAGCTCAATGGTAGAGGGGAGGTTACACATCTTTTATTTGCGGATGATACGTTGCTTTTCTGTGAGGCCTCGTATGAGCACGTTTTGAACATTATGGCCACTCTTGTGTGCTTCCAGGCTGTATCGAGATTGAAAATTAATCTGGATAAATCAACTATGTTCACCATAGGTGACGTTCCCAACCCGGATTATTATGCTAGTATTTTCGGCTGCAAGTGGAGCACGGAGCCTTCGAAGTACTTGGGGTTTGCTCTTGGCGCGAAGGTGATTGCTGCTTCTACTTGGGATCCTATTATCAGTAAGTATGAGAAGAGACTTGAGGGGTGGAAGACGAGGTATGTCTCTTTAGGTGGAAGATTGGTGCTCAATAACTCGGTGTTAAATGGCCAACCTATTTATTTATTTTTCTCTGCTTCGTGCTCCTTGCTCTGTGTTGAACAGGATTGAAAGAATTTAAAGAAGGTTTATTTGGAGTGGATTTGGTGATGTTAAGAAGTGTCCTTTCGTCAAGTGGGAACTTTGTAAGGCTTCTAAGGGCAATGGCGGGTTGGGGGTGCGCGATCTTAAATGTTTCAACAAGGCCATGCTAAGTAAGTGGTTGTGGAAGTTTGGGACTAAAAAGGAAAATGGTGGAGGGAGTTGATTTCTGTGAAGTTCCCTTCGTTAACCTCGGACTGGGAAAGTATAGGAGATGTACAGAGAGGTTTGGAACGTCAGTTTGGGCCAACATCACTAAGGAATATGACTCTTTTTGGAAGGCTGCTCGCGTTGATCCTGGTGGCGGTGTGTGGGTTTCCTTTTGGGACGATTGCTGGGTCTCGAACTCTACTCTTGCCAACACATTCCATCGCGTCGCTGCTGCAGCTACTGACTGTCACGCCTGGATCTCTGAAATTGTCGAACATCAAGGTGAGAACTTAGCTTGGAATCTTTGTTTAAATGTTCAACTGAGAGGGGGGGGGGGCTGAGAGAGATAGAGATAGTCTTATGGATGTGCTTAACTCTATCGACCCTTATAAGGTGTCTTGTGGACCCAATAGACTCGTTTGGTCCCCAACCCAGAAAGTTCTTTCTCAGGTCTTTAATGTACATGTACCATTCAAGCAATATTTTTCAGGGGCTGCTGGAGTTCCCTGCTGTTTCTGTCTGGAGGAAATGTGTCCCATGAAAGATCAATGCGTTTATGGACTGTTGCTCAAAGGAGAATCCTTACCCCTTGATAACTTGCAGAAGAGAGGGTGGATCCCTTGCTAATAGATGTGTGTTGTGCTGCAAAGATTCTGAATCCATTGATCATTTGCTGGTCGAATGCGGTTTTACAAAAGGAGTCTGGAACGAGTTGAAGAAAAAATGAAATATCGAGTTGGCCCCTTGCAGAGACATCAACACCACTATCTGCAGATGGAAGGCTGATTGCCATTCTGATCCGCATGGATGGATTGTGTATTGTGTTCTCCATTCGATTTGCTGGCAGGTGTGGCTCGAAATGAATCATCGTATGTTCAACGAGGGTGCTCTCCCAATATCCTTGGTCTATCAGAAGGCGGTTTGCTCGATTGTCGAATGGCTTGTGGCGCACGGAATGATCAACAGAGTTCAATGGCTGAGACCTAGCTTGAGTCGTAGACAGTTGTCGTAAAACGTTTCTTTTTTGGGCATATTGGTTTTGGGGATGTTGTAGGCTGGTTCCTTGTTGTCTGTTCTGGTTGTTTTGGTTGTCTGGTTTTCCTCCTTTCGTTCCTTTTTTTTTGGTTCTGTTTTTTGTGCTTTGGGGCAGGGGCTTCTCGGTTCGCCCAGCTCCTCTCGGCGCTCGCACCTCTTGTGCTGGCTGTTTTGTTTCCTTTGTGTTTGTGTTTGTTCATTTGTTTGGACCTTTTCGTTTGGTTTCTTAATGCAGTGATCACCATTATAAAAAAAAAACAAAGGTTCTAGGCTTTCATTTAACTTAGAGGGTTTTTTGACATTCATGGTTGTCGGTAATTGTGGAGAAATGATCTTTTAGGAGAGAAATCCATGTATATTTACGAATATTGAGAACTCTCTCCCATCCACCCTCGGAAATTATGGAGAAAGAATCTTTTAGGAGAGCAATCCATGTATAGTTACAACAATTAATTTGTATAATTTCTTATTCATATTCATTTAGTTTCTTTGGTTAGTCTTCATTATTTTAGAAATAGAAATATATTAAATGAGAAGCAATGTATATGAGTTAAAGCGTTATCAATTCTAATAATAAATTATGACCATGAACTTAGAAAAATGAATAAATGAATAAAAGACACGACTAGAAATGAGAGAGTCTTCAAAGGTGTTATCTCCAGGACAACAGTGACTTCAGCAAATGCGATTAGGGACTTCACTTTATGGACTACTCCTCCCCGCCTTGTCCAATCGGTCCTCGGATCCCATTCCCAGCACATCTCTAACCATTGTACGCTTAGTCTACCGCCTAGTTCTTCCCAATGGGTAGTTCATTGTGATAGATCCTTCAGATCGGAATCACATGTGGCGGCATATGGGGTCATCATCAAAAACCCCCATGGGCAAGTTGTGGATGGTAGTGCTGGGACCTTTTTCTGTTCTTCAGTGATAGTTGCGGAAGCTAAATCCTTGTTGACTGCTGTGAGAATGACAGCCTCCCTTCACGGTCATGCTTCAATCTTCTCGGACTGCAAAGTGCTTGTCGACATTATTCAGGATCCGCAAAAAGTTGGTCCCTGGCAAGTTAGAGCATGGATTCAGAGGATTCGCTTTCTCCTTCAGACGCATATCGGATTGAGTATCTTCTTCACACCAAGATCTACTAACAAAAGTGTAGATTGGGTGGCTAAGGGAGGGGCAAATGGATCTCTCCCTCAAGAATGGATCCAAGTGCTTGACATTTTAGATCCGATCTTGTAACTCGGTTTGGCTTGTACTCCTATCGTTGATTTGAATGTAAATTATCTATTGTAAAAAAAAAAAAACATTATTATCTTAAAATATATTAAAGGGGTTTTAGAAATAGACCATGTCCACGTCACCCTTGCAGACTTTTCCGTGAGTTTCGGAAATCTTTTTTTTTTTAATATTTTTTTCGGCTGGTCATTTGTAACTTCCACTTAATTTTGATCATTATCTATTTTTCTTTGCTGTTTTTTTTTATAAAAAATTTCTTTGCTGCTCTCCGTTTTAAGTATTTCCATTCTCATTTTTATTTTTCCGTTCATGTATTTATATTAGGAATACATGGAATTTTTAACGTCACTCCCATTTCCATACTTATCTTCACCATATTTGATCTCTTTAACGTTTAGAAGTATTATTAACTTCTCACAAAAAAAAAGAAGTATTATATAATTTCTACCAAATATCCTATATTTCATGTGTATGTACAAATCATTTGAATATCTTGGATAATAATAAACACACATTTATATATCATATAAAATAATCATTTGAATATTTTGGCCAATAAATTACCTTTAGTGGGATTTTTATAAAGATACTAACCCAGCACTAGAAATGTCTAACCCATAAGTGAAGGTCAAATCAAGATTAGAAAAACAAACCATCATGAGCGAGTATTTTAAACATCCCAAAATTTTAGCATAGACATGTTATATACTTAGCAAAGAATTGGTATATGTAGATGAAGATTGAATATCTTGAGTTAGGAACATGTATCGCTTATATCAATAAATAGAAAATTATTTTTACAGCATCAAGTGGTTAATTATGTAATTAGTCTTTTTATTTTAATTAAGTGAAGTCATCAAAATTTTAC